GTTTAAAGGCCCTCAGGTCACAGACTGACACTGCCCTAGACATTTATGGATTCAGTCCAGAATTTTGATATGAGCAGGGGACCTGGAATAACAGAGTAACAAATAACCCTGTTATATTCTAGATATGTAATCATGGGCTATCCATTCTGAGCTTCAGACTATTTATTTACAAAATGTAGATAATACTACTAGTAAATCGCTTCTGTCCAGGGTTGTTGGAAGAATTAAATTACATAATATATGCAAAGTGCTTAATGCAATGTCTGAGACTAGCATGTACATGCATTAATATTTACACTGCTAACATCTGCTATTTACATGGCAGTTGTACCACTGCAAGGTCAGACATGTAGTATACTATTTCAAGGCGTATTTCAGTAGAGTCGTCACTATTGCTTATATAATCATATAAATCACTGTATAACCTAGGCGCTTAAAAACTCCCCACATATTTATCTCAGCACCCAAAACATGAAAAAAAAAAAAAACCACTAGAAAATTAAAAAAGGACTAATAAAAATTGCCCCTTTTATTTCTTCAATGAAAGTCAGAAGATGGGAATGGAGGTTGGTGAAACCAAAACAGCACTTCCCAGATAAGAAATATAATAACTGACAGTACAGAATAATGAACTGTAGGTAATATGGAACTCAATTTTCAGAGCTAAGAGGAAAAATAAAGAACAAACAAATGCTTTCAGTATCCTTAGAAATTAAGGATTCCAACAGTTCAAACTGACTTAATGCCTCAAGCTTTTTATTCTAACTTTTCTGCAGCTTGACTTATTTACTATTTTGCATTCTTAAAAAGCAACTCCTAAATAACACAGGAAAAAAAGCAATTAAATAGGGTTAGATTTCGAAGTCAATTTGGTTACTTATGTTAGTAAAAATGTTCCATGAACAATGGAACAAAAATTTATTCAAATAACGTTTGCTATTATAATAGTCTTTTTTTTTTTTTTAACCAAAAATAAGGTATATAGTCCTGGAAGGGACCTGTGGTGATCACTGTTCCAGCTCACACTTCTCAAACTTTAACATACACCCAAAGTATCTTTGGATCTTGTGAAATGCTGATTTTGATCCAATCAGTCTGGGATAGGGCCAAAATTTTACATTTTTGGGGACTGTACATTGCAGAGCAAAGATCTAAATAGTGATGTGAGAACTGATGGAAGAACACATGAACAGACGACTTTATCAAATGCCTTTCGAATGATGGAATTCTGACTCTATCAAAGTTACTGTTTTCTGCTTGATTTATACCAAATAGTTTTTCCCATTTTACAGAATAAATTATGTATGTACATATATAAAGTGTATCAGTTTCTAAGCCACTACTTGATTTCACATCAGTAGGATAAAGTTAATATTTCTAAGGTGACCTTATTTTGCAGGGTAAATTCAACTCCTTGATACTTACTAGTGTCTAACTTGACTATTATCTGGGATTCCTTTAACTGAATCATTTATTTTTCAAAATATCACTGAGTACCTACAACACGCTGAATGCTATGCTACAAACACAACACTGTAAGCAAAGAATTAATAAATCAGGCTCTAGGACAGTACCTTTTAAAACACTGTACATTTCATCCCTTCTGTTCCCAACTCCTCTCCAGGTGAGGGTGGCTATAGGTTCAAACAGTTTAAACAATGAGAAAAGAAGGAAGAAACTACAGAAATGTAAAGGACATACATACAATGCAATATTATTCAGCCATAAAAAGGACTGAAGAACCGATTTATGCTAAAACATGGATAAACCCTGAAACACTATGCTATATCAAAGCATAACACAAAAACAAAGTGTAACACAAAAGGCCATATATTTAATGATTCTATTTGTCTCAAATGTGCATAACAGGTAAGTCAAATCCACAGAGACAGAAAGCACATTAGTGGTTGTCAGAGGAACAACTGCTAATGGGTATAGGGCTTCTTTCTTGAGGTGACAGAAAGGTTCTGGCATTAGTGGTAATGACTGCAGGACACTGAATACACTAAAACCCACTGAATTTTACACCTTAAAATGATTTAAACAGTTAATTTTATGGTATGTAAATTTTTATCTTAAAAAAAAAAAACCCACACAACCCATTGAGAGACTGAAAAAAGGTTGAATATCATACTAAGACTATGGAAACTGTGATGTTGGTCTTCCTAGGGTCTATTAAGCTAACACCAGACTTTTTCATTTGAGAAGGGGATTCTCCTCTCAACTGAGCTAGAGCTCGTATTCGAAAATAAAGATTCATCTGTTAATTGATTACAGTGTTTCAAATGCATTATCCTAAAATCAAATTAATTTGTTTTCTTTATGTTTACCAAATAACTGCTTATATAAACTTTTACCTAATTTTATGGCAGTGCTATCTGTGCCTGACAGTCTGAAGTCAAAGAACTCAAACCATTGGTTTCAGCCCTGAGCCTGGTGAACAGGTTTTTACCCAATAGGGTTGACTACATCCGTCACGTACTCATCTTACACAGTCATTATTTTAACTAGGTAAGCATATTTGGTGGGTAAATATGGAACAGGGTAGAATTTAATACAGGTCATTCTTTCATTCTGCATTAAAAAAAAATTGTAATTGATACCTTAATTTCTTTACATAGCAGAGTTATTTTTTGGACTTCATTTAACAACAACAACAAAAAACTAAAATTCCACGATCCCTTGAGATATTTTAAGTACCAACCTGTATTTGTTTAGAGAAATAATCAGGAGTTAAACTCAAAGATTAATCAGAGACACCTACCCCTAGACCACCCAGTTATACCTGGGCAGTGTCTCTGACAGCAAGGCACTATCTGTTAATTATTAACAAAATCTACCAAGTTTCAAGTTAGAATACTGTAAGATCCACAAAGAAGGGCAATAGCTGAAAGAGACAGTAGAGAATGTTTAAGTATATGGCTAGCTTATGTGTACTTCACTCTTCTGGTCTGTTCACTATCAAAACATTCAGCATTGCTGGAAGGTAAACAAAGTATTTCTGTGAATAGGTCTTTGTGTTTAAAATCTAGAATGATCACCTCAAGCAGTAATACTAGGTTTAAGATGCTATTTATTCTTTGGCAATAGAAAGAATAAATATGGCCAGTGAAAAATGGTTATTACATTAAAATCTCTTATGTTCTCACCACTGAAGTGATCATTCTACTCTTAAGAGAGAGAAAAGACTGCCTACAAATTATCAGAGCTGATTACTGAAGTAACTACTTGCGCACATTGAGATTCTCCTGTCTACTCCAAGTATAGAGGCTAAGGCATTCTAACAGAACATTACCACTACTTCGGCAGATTGGTAATTATTTACAGAACTCTTCAGAGAACTTTTTAAGTTTTGGTGGCATATGTTTAGGAGTTGGCAACTTTCTGTTAGGAGCCAAACAGTACATAAGTTAGGCTTTTGGAACTAAACAGTCTGTTGCAATTACTCGACTACTATTGTAGTATGTGAAAACAGACATAGAAAGTACAGAAACAAATGAGTGGCTGTCTTTACTTTCTTCATAGATACTTAAATTTGAATTTCATATAATTTTCACATGTCATCACATATTATTCTTCTTTTGATTCCGGCCTCAATCATTTAGGAATGCAAAGCTCATTCTTAGCTCATGGGCTGTACAAAAATGGGTAACAGGATGGATTTGGCCCATGAACCTTTGCTAATTCCTGGTTTAGAGTATAATGGAATGAAGAAAAAGTTACAGATGGTTTAAGTGAGTAAATAAATTACACTAACCATTCTACATACAAACTGTAAATTTTACAGTCCTAAAATTAAGATATTTAACCTTATAATCAAGTTCAATATTCAGTTTGATCTCCGTTCAGAGGATATGTATTTACAAAGGGTATCATGTTATTATTTGTTTTCATAAAGATTAAGTGGAAAAGAACACCTTAGCTTAACTGAATTCTAATCTATAAAGAAAACTGATCTCTCATCCATCCGCTCTGGCCACCTCTAATCCTTTATTTCAGTCTGTTAGTTATTCCATCAGAATAGTGCAATACCTCTTAACTGGGTTTTCAGCTTTTATTAGAGTTTCCTCATATACCCATCCTCTATCCTGCAGTCAAAATAATCTTTTAAAAATTTAGGTCTGATATTACAACACCTACCAAATGTGGGATTTTCTTTTTTTGGCTGTACCAAGTGGCTTGTGGAATCTTAGTACCCAGTCCAGGGAATGAACTTATGCTCTCAGTAGTGAAGACGCAGAGTCCTAACCACTGGACCGCCAGGGAAGTCCCATGACAACTACCACTGTCTTATAGTGGCTGCAATGGTTCTCCCAGTGCTCAAGCACAGTCTCAACTTTCCTTTCCTCCCTTATTCCTTGTCTCTTCTTTTTCCTATTTCCAAACTGCAGACACACAAATTATAGAATTTTTCACATGCAGTATTATCTTAGTCTCCCCTATTTCACATAATTTTCCTAATCTGATCAAACTCAATCAGGCACAACTACTACATGCTTTGTTACATACTGACCCTAGGAAAACTGTTTTTATACCCTATGGTAGCTGTCTGGTTTACTTATTTGTTCTCCTTCACTGAGTAGTAAGCTCTTGGTAGACAGGTTTGTCTTACTTAGCAATAATATTCAATACCTAGGATCTAGAAAGAAGTCTGGAATATAACAGAGACTTAAATATTTGTTGGATGAACCCATGAGCTATTATTGGTTGAACAGTGTCACCCCCACAAAAGATAAGTTAAAATTCTAACCCTCAGTATCTCAGAATGTGATCTTATTTGGAAACAGGATCACTGCAGGTGCAATTAGTTAGAAGAGCCAATCTGGAGTGGGCTGGACACAACGCAATCTGACCAGTGTCCTTATAAAAAGAGGAGACACAGAGAGATGAGGGATGAACACCATGTGATGCTTTCTACGTTGTTCCCTTCTGCATGGTTTGACATTACCCAGCTTCTTAGATATGGCCTAAGATCACCAGTCAGTTCTGACGGGACTTACGCTAGTCACTCGACGGTAGATCTGTGCAGCGTTCTGGCACTCTGAGTACGGGTATTCAGACGTGGCCATCTCGAGCATGCACATTCCAAAAGCATAAACATCAACGGATTCATCATACTTCTCTTCATACATCTCAGGGGCCATGAACTCTGGGGTACCTTAAATTAAAAGAAGGATTCAGACTCAATGTGAGGAGAAACTGCAGAAGTACTCATGGTGGGGTGGGCGGGGAGGGGGGGCGAGGCACAGCAGAGGGGCTGCCCTGTGAGAGAGAAGAAAGTGGAAGGGGTAAAGATGAAAGAAAGACAGGGAGGAAGTTGGGGGAGAGGACAGAAATCACCTTAGTCTGCTCTATCAAATCTGTTACAGACCTCTCACAGCAATTCCTTTATAAAAAGTAAGAAGAGGGCCAAGCATCTGTTTATTTACTGTTTCAAGTGGATTACTCTTATACAATGTCAAAATAGAGCCTCACATAAAAGATAAACTGATATAACTCATATGAAAACAAATGGAAGAAAAAGGTGAGAACAGCAAAGAGTAAACTAGAGAAAATGGCATCTATCTGTAAGACAGGATGATAGGTTAAAAAGATAAATACTTGTCTGCCCCCTACTGTATGAGAGCTGTAAGGTTAACATTTAGAGCTAGTCTCTTGCCATTAACAGTCCATTGATCAATTTCACTTTTAACGCAGCTGTGCAGTAAAAAAAACCTGACATTCAGTGCATTTTTAAAATAACATAGTGTAAACGTCTGTGAGGCCACTCACCCTCCCCATAGTTCGCAAATCTACTGCAGATGTAAGAAACGTAGTAAGTAAGGGACACCCTATAGACACACACACACCATTCAGTCTGCATTTGTGTTCTCATGCTGAATTAAGAGTGTGGATGGAGTGTGTGATTCCACACACCAAGTTTCCAAAGAAATTAAGCCTAGATACCTCAAATTACAGAACATTTCTAAGAACAGGCTTGCATAATACAGTTTAAACAAGAAAGAAGAAAAAACTCTTGGGCCAGAGATTAACATACCAAAGACAAAGAACTGTTTCCTTTATAGGTAACAGGGAAGGCAGAAGGGAAATACAGCTTTAAATAACTCCCCAGAACACTATTTTATAAGGATGTGCAAATTACTGGTATTCTATGTTCTTTCTTATTAAAACATAGGATTCTAGCCCACTTAAAAATGAAGTTTTCTTGCTGTTGTCATCATCACCTTTTGAGAGAATAGAGTTCATGAAAATTTCAGGCTTTCAAACTGTCGCACCCTCTTCAGAAGGGAAAGTTTATAAAACAACAGGCATTGAACTATATTTCCAGCTGCAATGCCCTAACACACAGCCTTGTCCTGTAAATCAATGACTGTCGAGGAGGGCAATTTGCCCCACAGGGGAAATATTTGGCTGTCACGACAGGAGGGAGGTGGACAAGTGGGCATGCTACCAGCATCTACAGAGCAGAGACCAGGGATGCTGTTAAGTCATCTTACAACGCACAAGACAGTCCTTACAACAAAGAACTGTCCAAACCAAAGTGTAAATAGTACTGAGACTGAAAACTGTTTTAAGTAGATCTTTTGAAGAGTAGAAGAAAAAGTTGATAATGAACCATTATATTTTTACATTTTAAAAGTTTTAAAAGGCAGATTTTTTTGAATACAAATATATACAACAGACCTTTTCAGAAACTAAATTATATATAAACTCAATTTCTTTCATGGGGAAAGTTAACACAGTTTATCTATTATATAACTAAGTGTATGATACTAAGCATCAACAAAATGACCCAGGAAGGCGACAGTTCTGTTACATGAGATCTTGTCAACAAAGTTCACTTTACTTCTCTTCATGTAACTTCACAAAACAACAACTGTCTTCAGGATGCTTCTAGAGGCATAAACACAAGAGGACTCCGTATCGCTTCCTGGGTTCAAGCAATGAATTTCTGAAGGTTTATTTCACATTATAAAAGCTCTGACAGAGTCAGGTTTCTAAATAAAGTGAATGTCAGAAAGCCAGTTAGACTTTCACAAGGTATCTGTGAAACATACCTATCACACTCTTGGCAAAAGAAGCCCGCTTCAGGGTGGCCAGACCTAGGTCTCCAATCTTGACTGAGCCCGTGGGGCCAGTGATAAAGATGTTGTCACACTTAAGATCCCGGTGAATAATAGGTGGAGTTCGAGTATGAAGAAACTGAAGTCCTTTAAGAATCTGACGGCACCAGCTTCTCAAAACTTTGATCTTCATCACCTTAAACCTTTTCAGGTACCTAGAGAAGGCAAGGTACACCAAACGGTTATCGATGATACGTGTTTACTGCTTTGAAGAGTTCCATTAAATTCTAGCATATCTGAGATGTGAATATCAAATTCAGAATATTAAGATTCAGTAACCTAAGGTTAGTACTACTTTTAGCAAGGTAAAAGGGGATAGGATAACAAGTAGTTGGCAAGCAAATTTTGATAACAAAGCACAAAAAACAAATCCCTTAAAATTAGATCACTGCCAAGATGATTGACAAGAGGTAGAGTTTGACTTCTGGTAAATGGTGGTGCAACTGTTACTGGATGCAGATATAAACACCAGTGAATATACGTGCATGAGCAAACACACACACACACCCCTGAAGATTCTATAGACCAATCAGAATCAGGCACAAACTGGAAGGGAGGACACATGAGAAAAAAGGGTAAGCACTAGTCTGTGCAGGTTGCTCAAACCTGTACACAACCCTATTGCTTTATTGGCTGAGGAAGAAATATGAGGACAGAGTTCAAGATGACCGCATCTAAAACACTGTGTTCAATACAACTTTCTACAATAAAAGTTCGTCCAATACAATATCCACTAGATAAATGAGAATATTTATATTTAAATGAATTAGATACATTAAACTTAAAAAGGTCATCTCCCAGCTGCACCAGTCACATTTCAAGTGCTCAACAACCGCACATGGCACGTGGCTATCATTCTGGATGGTGCAGGTTATAGAACATTTCCATCACCACAGAGAGTTCTGCTGGACAGCAGAGATCTAGAAAGGTGGTCGGGGTGGGGAATCCAGAAAGGAGGCACAGAAGGGGCACTCCAAAGTTCTGCATATTCACTCTGCCCACATCTCTGGCTAACCTCTGAAATATGTGTGTATGCAGATTACAAGCAACCTAGCTGACGCTAAAGGAACAGAGTTTTCTGATGAACTGAGGCCAGATGCTATTTCATCTGAAAATACTCAGGGGAAAAAATGAAGTACACAAATGGTAAATATAAAAGAATACACTTTCCTAGCACTATCTTTATGTTATATGTGACTACCTAAAGGAAAATTTATAACACTGTGTTACTGGATCTATACAACAGACATATATAACATAAAGCTTAGAGCATGAATTATAAGTACTAGAGATAAATGGGCCTATATTTGTGCAAGTTTTCTTTATTTTACATGAAATTATATTGTATCAACCATAAACATGCTGTGAAAAGTTAAAGATTTAAATTTAAATAAAGATTTGAAGATTTAAACTGTGAAAACAATACCTAAAATGTACACATACACACAAGGAAGTTTAACTAAAAAGCTAATATAGAAACTAATACAAAGTTTTAAAAACAAATTTAAAAATGAAATTCTGCTTCACTTGGGGGGGGATATGAGATAATTAAAGAAAACTTATGATGAAAGTTGGTTTTATGGTTTAAAAATATATAAAGAGTTAATCCTGGAGAATGAGGAAAAGATTGTCAAAGAAGAAGAGTAAGGCATTTACTGAAATGAAGGAAATGTTCTGTATGTTAACAGTTGGTGTTTTTTTAAACAGTTTTCATTAAAACTCATCAAATGACAGAACCATGATTAATATTTTCACTGCCTGTAAATTTCATTATAAGGAAAGATCAAGCATACAAATATTGGAACTTTGATGAAATGTGTACTCAAGTGTTTATGGATGTCTGCAACTTAATCTGGAATGAAAAAAGAGGGGAATGACTAGATGAACATATTTGGTAAAGCAGACACAACAGAGGTTAACTAAATTAAAGAATCTAGGGAGAGACCATGTATGTGTTCACTATGTAATTCTTTCAACTTTTATGTATAATTGAAAAATTTTTAGATAAAATGTTGGGAAATGTCAATTATTTCTCATTACAACTGGAAGAAAAAACAAAGAATACACACATATATAAATACATAACATTTAAGCTTATATATGCATGAAGAAGCAATGAAAGATAAGAATTAAAATTATGACTTTTTAAGAAAAAAACTATTGGGAAAAAGATGAGGCTAGCTTGTATCTCTTTCACATCTATAAAATGATAAAATATAATAGACTGTCTATTAACCTTCTATCTTATAACCTTATTAAACCTGTTTAGAATCACTGGAATATTCTAGGTAAACAATTACATAATCTGCAAACAAGAGCAGTTTTATTTCCTCCTTTCCCATCTTTTTTATTTTTCCTGGTTTCCCCATTCTTGCTCTGGGCAGGCCCTCTAACAGTACAGAATATAAGCAGTGAAAGCAGGCATTTGTGCTTTGTTCCTCATCTCCCAGGAAGCAGTGATGTATAAAGCTTTTTCACGGATGCTTTTAGCATGTTGCACACTTGTCATCTAGCATAAGAATAAGTAACTGTTACTCTTTTTAGAAAGGATACACTGACAAATTCTTAGGTTAATGGCTTTGGCCAAGTATTTTTAGCCAGCTACAGGACAATAGCAATGGCAAAAACATTGACGATACAGTTCATGGTTCGGTTCTCCCATCTTACAGTGCAGGTTCCATCAGATGTGGTGTCCCAAAAACATGAGCTGGCTGTATGAAAGCCATATGAACTCCTCTGGACCACTGCGCAGGTCACAATATACTTATAAGCTTTTCCCAACTTAACCAGATGTGCTAAGGATTGTTCCACTATGCTTGCAGTCCATTGGTTGATATTGTTCTGATTATAGTCTTCACCTCCCAAGACCCCATCTATACACTCTTTAACGATATTGTGGGCTTCATCAGCATTGAAGCCAACCTCGACGCAGGGGTGATGGTACTCCTCCATGGTGGCGCCGAGTCTCCTGGGGGGCGGAGCTATGGGCCTCAAGGATGCTTTTAGTCTGAGGAAGTTTCCTATCACCCCTAGTCTGCTAAGAGTTTTTAGTAAGGAATAAATGCTGATTTGTCAAATACTTTTCCCACATATACTTAAATGATCATACAGTTTTTACTATGTTAATGTGCTGAAAAACATTAATTCGTTCTATGTTAAACCAACTTTGCGATCCTGGGATAAACCCTATTTGTCACTGACAAATTGAAAGTCCCATGGATAGCAAGGAGATCAAACCAGTCAATCCTAAAGGAAATCAGTCCTGAATATTCATCGGAAGGACTGATGCTGAAGCTCCAATACTTTGGCCACCTGATTCAAAGAGACGACTCACTGGAAAACACCCTGATGCTGGGAAAGATTGAGGGCAAGGCAAGAAGGGGGCGACAGAGGATGAGATGATTGGATGGCATCACTGACTCGATGGACATGAGTTTGAGCAAACTCTGGGAGACAGTGAAGGACAGGGAAGCCTGGCGTGCTGCAGTCCATGGGGTTGCACAGAGTCAACTATGACCGAGCGACTGAACAACAGTGTGATGGCTAGAATCTAATTTGCTGTTATCTTGTAAAGGAATTTGGTACCTATATTCATGGGGGATACAGCTCTATAAAGTTCTTTTGCTGTGTCTTAGGATTTTGGTTTTGGGGTTATGCTGGCTTCAAAAAAGAAACTGGACACGATTCTTCCACTGTCTTTTTGAGAAAAGTCAACACACTTGGTCCCCCTCCACTGAAATAAAGTATGATAAATACATAGAACAAAAAATGTACCACCTGAAGTGTTGAAGTATTAGTCACTCAGTTGTGTCCAACTCTGTGACCCCATGGACTGTAGCCCACAAGGCTCCTCTGTCCATGGGATACTCCAGGCAAGAATACTGGAGTGGGTTGCCGTTCCCTTCTCCACGGGATCTTCTCTATCCAGGGATTGAACCTGGGTCTCCACATTGCAGGCATTCTTTACTGAGCTATGTTCATATTATTATGCACAAACATCACCACCATCCATCTCCAGAACTCATCCTGTGAAACTGAAACGCTATACCCTCTAAACAATGACACTCCACTTCCCCTCCCCCTGAGGCCATGCAACTACCACCCAACTTTCTGTCTCTATGAAATTAGCCTACTCTAAGTATCTCATGTAAATGGAATCATACAGTATTTATTTTTTTGTGACTGGCTTATATCAGGTAGCACAATGCCCTGAAAGTTCATTCCTGTTGTAGCATATACCATAAATTTCCTTCTCTTTTAAAAAGGCTGAAAAATATTCCATTGTACATATATACCACACTTTGCTTATCCATTCTTCCACCGATAAACACATAGGTTGCTTCTACTTTGGGTCCATTGTGAATACTGCTGCTATGAACACGGGTGTACAAGTATCTCTTTAAGACCCCGCTTTTAATCCTTTTGGGTATATAACAAGAAATGAAATTGTTGAACCATATGCTAATTCTATTTTTTTTTAATTTAATTGAAGTATAGTTGATAACATGCTTTAATTTTTGCTACACAGCAAAGTGATTCAGTTATACATATATATATTCCTTTTCATATTCTTTTCCATTTTTTATTTTTTTATTGAGATGTAATTAACATATATTGGCTTAAGGTATACAACATAATGATTCAAATATGTATATATTGTGAAATGATGGCCACAGTAAATATAGTTAAAATCCATCACAAAACTCCAACTTTTTTTATTTTTACTGTGATGAGAACTTTTAAGATCTACTCTTAGCAACTTTCAAATATACAGTACAGTATTATTAACTGTAGTCACCATGCTGTACATTACATTCTTAAGACTTTTATTTATTTACAACTGGAAGTTCACACCTTTTGTCCACCCACCCATTTCATACTCCCATGCCCTTGCCCCTGCCTCAGGCAGTCACCAATCTGTTCTCTGTTATCTATGAGTTTGGCTTTTTGGTGTTGTTCATATGGTATTTGTCTTTCTCATTTCAATTAGCACAACCCCTTCAAGAGTCCATCAATGTTTTTGGCAAGATTTTCTTCTTCATGGCTGAATAGTATTTCATTGCAGATATACATACCATATTTTCTTTATCCATTTATCCATCAGCAGACATGTAGGTTGCTTCCATGACTTAACTAGTATAAATAATGCTGCAATGAACATGGGGGTGCATATTATCTTTTTAAGTCCGTGTTTCAGTTTCTTTGGATAAATACTCAGAAACTGAATTGTGGGGTCATACAGTAGTCCTGTTTTTAATTTTTTGAGGAGCCTCTGTACTGTTTTCCATAGTGCTTACACCAATTTAATCCCCACCGACAACGCACAACAGATTTTCCTTTTCTCCATAGTACTTGTTACCTGTCTTTTTGATAACAGCCATTCTTTTAAAAAAAAGAAAAATTATTTATTTTTGGTTGCTGGGTCTTTGTTATGCACGTGGCCTTTCTTTAGCTGTGGTGAGCAGGGGTTACTCTAGTAGGAGTGTACAGGCTTCTCATTGCTGTAGCTTCTCTTGCTGCAAAGCACAGGCTCTAGGGCATGCTGGCTTTACTAACTGCAGCTTGTGGGCTCAGCAGTTGCAGCCCACGGGCTCCAGAGAACTGGCTCATCAGTTGTGGCACACAGGGTTAGTCGCCAACGGCATGTGGGATTTTCCCGAACCAGGCACTGAACCAGTATTCCTCGCACTGCAAGGGCGATTCTTAACCACTGGATCCTCAGGGAAGCCCTGATAATAGCCATCCTAACAGGTTATCACATTGTGGTTTTGATTTGTGCTTCCTTAATGACAGGACATTAAACATCTTTTCAGTGTATATTGGCTATTTTTGTGAGAAATATATATTCAAATTACTTGCCCATTTTTTAATTGAATGTCAACAGGAATGTAAAATTGTGGAAAACAGTTTGGTGGTTCCTCAGAAAGGTAACGAATTACCATATGACTCAGCAATTCTACTCATAGGAACATAGATCTAAAAGAAATAAAACCAGGTACTCGAACACTTGTACACAAATATTCAGAGCAGCATTATTCCCAATAGCCAAAAGGTACAAACAGCCCAAATATCTATCGGCAAGTTAAAGGATAAACAGATGGTGGTTTATCCACAAAACATTATTTAGTCATAAAAAGGAATAAAGCATAGATATACGCCACAACATGAACCTTGACAAGATGGTAAGTGAACATGGCCAAGAACAGACACATATTTTATATTCCATTTATATGAAATATCTTGATCAGATAAACACTTAGAGAGACAAAATGGTAGGGAGAATGGAGAGTTGTTTGATGGGTTTTAGTTTCAGAAGATGAAGAATTCGTCTTCATGAGATTTGTTTACATAGCAACATGAATGTATCTAACAGTACTAAACTATATACACTTAAAAATGATGAAGACAGTAAATTTTATGTGTTTTTACCACAGAAAAAAAAAAAATTCCCATCCATAAATCCTAGAAATCAGCTAGTCCAACCATGCATTTTACACATGGAGAACTGAGGCCCAAAGAAGGGGCTCTCAATGCCCTAAATCACAGCTGGCCGAAATCAGAGCAGGGAGCAGACTCCAACTATGGTCCAGAGCTCTTTCTACTTTACCTCTTGCTGCCTTTGCTATGAGGCTCAGAAACTGAAACAGATGATGATGGGAAAAGAGAACATTAAACTTATAAGAAAAATGCCTAAACACTTAATTGTGTGCAATTAAAGAGAAAATATACTGCGTGTGAAGTGGGATGGGGTGTTCTTTTAGGGAGACAAAAATGTTTAGGAACTTGACAGATGTGGTTATACAACATTGTAAATGTAATAAATACCAATGAATTGTACACCTTAAACAGCACAATTTTATGAAAATTAAAAAAACTACTGTGTACTGACAGAATGACAACCCACTAAGTATTCAAATCAGAAAAAGAATCTCAAGATGAAGATATACATAACTATTACCACACAATTTTCCTTAATTCATTCAAATATTCATCAAGTCTCACGTACAGCATCAGGAGCACAGTCTAAGAAAAGAAATAGACATGTGAATAAGAAGAATCCTGGACAACTTAGAATAAAGATGTTGCCATAAATATTAGCAAAGTTGGAAGGGAAATTAGAATTTGCAGGGGGAGATAATCTGTTGGCTTTTCACGTGTCACTTTTATGTATCCACGAGCACGAACACAGGGGTGCATCCAGGAGATACAGGACTATCCACACGTGACCTATCCATATTCCTGGAAGAGGCGATAGGTCTAGCTATTTGGCTTCAATTTTGATGCTCCTGTGGAAAACTGAATTATCTGTATAAATGTGCCAATAAAACTGGCATTCAATACAAAATTTGCAAGGACATAGCAAAAACTACCCAATATGAAGTGATAAAATAAATCAGTAAAACTTGTCAATAAGCTTCAGCTTCATTTCAACCACTAGAGGGCTACCTTGTCACTTGATTTCTGATCTCTCAGCCACTCAACTTTAGAAACGCCAATCACCATGACTTAAAAGTAACTAGGTTTACTCTGCGACGTCTCAGTTCATACTTACCAACAGATAATTACCAGACCACTTTATACACCAGAGGACCTTGTGAGCAGGGACTGTGCCCCCTCACTAATGTTTCCTCCTTAGGGTGCTGGGCAACAGCAAGAACTGACAAGGCCTGAAATAAGAGATTCAAGTTCTCTTCTATTTCATGGTCAGCTTCTCTAACAGTGATAAACTTACGTTTTAAGAGTTCCAGATGTCATCAGTTCAGTCACCAACACAATGCACTTCTTTCCCTTTACTGTGGATTCCCAGGAATCATAGAATCGAACAATATTGGGATGCTGAAGACCCTTTAACATTTCAGCCTCTTCTTTAAATCGCTGCCTCTCAGACTTGGTTAACTTCCGATCCTATAATCAAAAAGCAAGAGAATATGGTTTAAGATTAGGAGTTTGGGACTAACAGGTATACACCACCATATTTAAAACAGATAACCAACAAGGACCTACTGTATAACACAGGGAACTCTGCTCAATATTCTGCAATAAACCAAAAGGGTAAAGAACATGAAAATGAATAGATACATGTATAACTGAATCACTTTGCTGTATATCTGAAACTAAAAAAAACAAAACAGATGGTTTAAAATAAAAAAACCCACCAAGCCACATAGTCACACTTATATGCTAAACATGTACTATATTATAATGACCAACAATGTTAAAGTAAAACATCCCAACACTGAAGTTACTAATAATAACTTCATTAGCCTGTTACAAGGAGTGTGAGAACAGGCTAAAGTGTATTTAAGAAAACTCTCGATTATAAAGTCATGCTTGAACCTAGATGCCCATCAGCAAACGAGTGGATAAGGAAGCTGTGATACATATACACCATGGAATATTACTCAGCCGTTAAAAAGAATTCATTTGAATCAGTTCTAATGAGACGGATGAAACTGGAGCCCATTATACAGAGTGAAGTAAGCCAGAAAGATAAAGAACATTACAGCATACTAACACATATATATGGAATTTAGAAAGATGGTAACAATAACTCTATATGCAAAACAGAAAAAGAGACACAGATGTACAGAACAGACTTTTGGACTCTGTGGGAGAAGGCGAGGGTGGGATGTTTCGAAAGAACAGCATGTATATTATCTATAGTGAAACAGATCACCAGCCCAGGTGAGATGCATGAGACAAGTGCTCAGGCCTGGTGCACTGGGAAGACCCAGAGGAATCGGGTGGAGAGGGAGGTGGGAGGGGGGATCGGGATGGGGAATACATGTAACTCCATGGCTGATTCATGTCAATGTATGACAAAACCCACTGAAATGCTGTGAAGTAATTAGCCTCCAACTAATAAAAAAAAAAAAAAAAAAATAAAGTCATGCTTGAGATTTTGGTATCTTTACGGTTATTGTGTGCTTCAGATACACAGTTCTTATGTACAGTTTATTTACCAATTCTAATGTAAGCCACCTACTGACAGAGACATGCAATTTAATAATGAAACAAGATTGTATTTTAGAAGTGGTGAGATCTAAATTTCTCCCCTCTCCCCACCAAGAAAATTGAGGAATGACTGTGTGTGCCTTCACCTCATAGGACTGTTTTAAGAAGTAATCTACTAGGCATGTTTTTTATCACATATTTAAAGTGCCTGGCACCTTACAGGTTAATTCACTTCTTATCTGAGATAAATGGAGAAAAGCACTTAATCTGATGTTCTTCCCTTGACAAAGCACCACACACACAAACTCTGCACTGCCCTTTAAATTAAAGTTGAAACTGTCAACTACCAAAGCACGTAATACATATTTTAGCAAACTAGTCCAGGCATACAATAACATAATGTGTCTAAACACTAAAGACTTAATGTAAACTCTCCCGTGTAACCAGATGGCCTTTCCCATTGCTACCCTTGAATAACTCTTGGTAAAGAATCTGCCTGCAATGCAGGAGACCCCAGTTTGATTCCTGGGTCAGGAAGATCCATTGGAAAAGGAATAGGCTACCCACTCCAGTATTCTTGGGCTTCTTTTGTGGCTCAGATGGTAAAGACTCTGACTGCAATGTTAGGAGACCTGGGTTCGATCCACCAGTACTAGTACCGATTTTCACTACTACTACTACTACTACTACTACTACTACTATTACTACTACCCTGATTAGATATACCGTCCCTATCTCAAAATACCACACTAGGCATTCTTTGAAATTATGCTAGTCATTAGATATTCTAGGAGATCTTATAAATATATACATTAATAATGCATACTATATATCACAAATTCAAACGGTTTAATAAATATTTTAATACAATTTGTTTTCAATATACTATGTATTTTATTATATGAACTTAAAACATTATTCCAGCTTTCATTATTTAGCCTTCTGGGGCATAAAAAACTCTGTAAGTACATCTCTTAGGCTAAGCTAGCAGTAGAATTGCTGGATCACAGGGAACAGGTATTAACAGACTGCTTTTCAAAGGGGCCATGCCTGGCACTGCAGTGCTATCACTAGTCTTGGCCATGACTCCATGTAAAAGTGAAAAGTGACACTGTTAGTTGCTCGGTCTTGCTTGACTCTGTGACTTCCAAGTAATTCAAGTTCAAATCCTTATCTCATACTTGCATGAACACAGCTCCCAAACCATGAACTCTGAGGGTAAACTTTTTTTCACGTGACTTGGGAAAAACTGTCGTTTCCCTGACTCAGAAACTGAAATTTTCTCTAGTCTGTCTTTATATTAAAGGTGTTGCTCCTCTTTAGGGCTTCCCAGGTGGCGCTAGCGGTAAAGAACCCACCTGTCAATGCAGGAGATGAAAGAGACGTGGGTTTGATCCCTGGGTTAGGAAGATCCTCTGGAGGAGGGCATGGCAACCCACTCCAGTATTCATGCCTGGAGAATCCCAAGGACAGAAGAGCCTGGTGGGCTACAGTCCATGGGGTCACAAAGTTGGACACAACTGAAGCGACTTAGCACACATGTACCTCTTTAAGCAATAAGTTTACTGGATCTCAGTTCCAATACCTGCTTGGGCTTGAGATTTCATCTGCTCTTGGGGAGATGATAAAACCATCAGTTCAGTTCAATCATTCAGTCATGTCCAACTCTTTCTGATTCCATGGACTGCAGCATGCCAGGCCTCCCTGTCCATCACCAACTCCCGGAGTTTACTCAAACTCATGTCCATTGAGTTTATGATACCATCCAACCACCTCGTCCTCTGTCGTCCCCTTCTCCTCCCACCTTCAATCTTTCCCAGCATCAGGGTCTTTTCAAATGAGTCACTTCTTCACATCAGGTGGCCAAAGTATTGGAGTTTCAGCTTCACCATCAGTCCTTCCGATGAATATTCAGGACTGATTTCCTTCAGGATTGACTGATTGGATCTCCCTATAGTCCAAGAGACTCTCGAGAGACTTCACCACAGTTCAAAAGCATCAATTCTTCGGCGCTCAGCTTTCTTTATAGTCTAACTCTCTCTCCCATCCATACATGACTACTGGAAAAACCATAGCCTTGACTAGATGGACCTTTGTTGGCAAAGTAATGTCTCTGCTTTTTAATATGCTTTCTAGGTTGGTCATAGCTTTTCTTCCAAGGAGTAAGTGTCTTTTAATTTCATGGCTGCACTCACCATCTGCAGTGATTTTGGAGCCCCCCAAAATAGTCTGCCACTATTTCCCCATCTATTTCCCATGAAGTGATGGGACCAGATGCCATGATCTTAGTTTTCTGAATGTTGAGCTTTAAGCCAACTTTTTCACTCTCCTATTTCACTTTCATCAAGAGGCTCTTTAGTTCTTCTTCACTTTCTGCCATAAGGGTGGTGTCATCTGCTTATCTGGGTTATTTTATTTCTCCCGGCAATCTTGACTCCAGCTTGTGCTTCATCCAGCCCAGCGTTTCTCATGATGTACTCTGCATATAAGTGGAATAAGGAGGGTGACAACATACAGCCTTGACGTACTCCTTTTCCTATTTGGAACCATGTCCAGTTCTAACTATTGCTTTCTGACCTGCACACAGATCTCTCACGAGGCAGGTCAGGTGATACGGTATTCCCAGCTCTTTCAGAATTTTTCACAGTTTATTGTGATCCACACAGTCAAAGGCCTTGGCATAGTCAATAAAGCAGAAATAGGTGTTTTTCTGGAATTCTCTTGCTTTTTCAATGATCCAACAGATGCTGGCAATTTGATCTCTGATTTCTCTGCCTTTTCTAAAACCAGCTTGAACACCTGGAAGTTCACGGTTCACGTACTGTTGCAGCCTGGCTTGGAGAATTTTGAGCATTGCTTTGCTAGTGTGTGAGATGAGTACAATTGTGTGGTAATTTGAGCATTCTTTGGCATTACTTTTCTTTGGGATTGGGATGAAAACTGACCTTTTCCAGTCCGGTGGCCACTGCTGAGTTTTCCAAATTTGCTGGCATACTGAATGCAGCACTTTCTCAGCATCATCTTTCAGGATTTGAAATAACTCAACTGGAATGCCATCACCTCCACTAGCTTTGTTTGTAGTGATGCTTCCTAAGGCCTCCTTGACTTCACATTCCAGGATGTCTGGCTCTAGGTGAGTGATCACACCATCATGATTACCTAGGTCGTGAAGATCTTTTTTGTACAGTTCTTCTGTGTGTTCTTGCCACCTCTTCTTAATATCTTCTGCTTCTGTTAGGTCCATCTCATTTCTGTCCTTTATTGAGCCCATCTTTGCATGAAATGTTCCCTTGGTATCTCTAATTTTCTTGAAGAGATCTCTAGTCTTTCCCGTTCTACTGTTTTCCTCTATTTCTTTGCACTGATCACTGAGGAAGGCTTTTTTATCTCTCTTTGCTATTCTTTGGAACTCTGCACTCAAATGGGTATATCTTTCCTTTTAAACCATGCCTCTTAAAGTCAACAAGACTGGCAACTGTCCCAGAAAAAACCCAGTGTCAATTCACACTTTTCCTACTCTGGTTTCTAGTTTCTTCTTAGTTTTTAAACCTTGGAAGTCGTCCTGACATCCCCACAAGCTCGACTATGCATTTAAAAGGATAGGATTTTATAGTTTTTCTCATTAAAGTGTTCAAAGTATCTGGTATTATACAGTGGGAAGAATTTTCAGCTTGTTTCGTTTTCCATTTACTGACAACAGGGTTTCTTAATGTATGTTTTATTAAAAAAATATTGTTTACTATATATTCTTACACGTCCTCATTTCAAGAAACTATTCAAAAAAGAAAACCTAGATCCCCTGTTGACATTACTGCTGAATTATGAAAACTTAAAGAGATTATAACGTTAATCTACTCTCAGAACAATCAGAAGACTAATCACACATGAGCCAAATGAATTATAATATTCTATCTACCATTAAGTGATATTTAATTTTTATACTTTCTCTT